AAAAAAAAAAAAAAAAAAAAAATCGAACTACACCGCAACTTAAAAAAAACTGAACCAAATTTCTTTTGCACTAAAATAACCAAACCGAACTGCACCGAAATGCATGGTTCGGTTCGATTTTCGATTTTTTCTCCATTTTTCTATATATTTTATTTCATTTGTTGTGGTTCGGTGCAAAACTTCTGAAAAACAATAGCCGCACCGTACTGCAATATATAAAACCGAAACTGAACTAATTTTTTTTACATAAAAAAACCGAACCAAACTTCACCGAATTACTCAATTTCGGTTCAATTTAATTTCGGCTCGATTTTTGCTCACTCCTAGTTTCAATGGGATTACTTCGCACTTTTTTGTGTTTTTTATAGTAAATGCTACCTTTTTTGTGTTTCCTAGTTCCCACAGTAAATGCTGCAAAATCTTGTAAAAAAATATGGACAAGTCAAACACCCTCTACTTTGTAAAAAGTTAACCTACAAAATCTGGCAAAAAGTACAAAGTTCACACTATAAGTGCAGCAAAATCACTACAAATTGCCTAAATAATTTATTTTGCAATAGAACAAGCTTACCTTCTATCTCACCTTATGCGAAAAAAAACCTTGTTTAATGATTCCACAATCATATTATTTCTGTCATATATAAATATTTTCCACAGTCAAGTATCATATTTTAATATACAATATAAATAAAATGTAATCTTTAATAATATACTATATTATTTTGTAATAAAGTACAAGTTAAAGGCAACCTAACAGCAATGTATGTATGTAAAAAAACGTGTGTATTCCTTTTATTAGTGTCCAGAAGTTGACCCCCCAAAAAATTAAATGTAAAGTTGAGTGGCTAATATAATTATGAAAATCAAGAGATAATATAATAACTTGACAATAATCCACCACAAAAGATAGGAGAAAATGCTAAGATCCATTGTACAACTATTTCGTCGGAATTTGTAACAGTCAGATCATTATGTAATTGTCAAATACTCCCTCATATTCATAATAAATGTCGTTTTAAGAAGTTGCACAATTATTAAAAATATTTTTTTTTTTGTCGATAATAACCCTCATTAATGAGGATAGAAATGAATATTTTGAGAAAAAGTGAATAGTGAATATGAAAAGACATAGTGTATTTATTAGTTAAATGAGGGTAATAATGGAAAAATATGTACGAAATATCCAAAACGACATTTATTTTGTTAATAGTTGAAAATGCTAAAATGACATTTAACATTTATTTTGTTAATAGTTGAAAATGCCAAAATGACATTTAAAAAGAATAGGAGTTAGTATAATTTATCTAACATTTATAAACCCCGACAAAATAATTCGCCCCGACAAAATAATTCGCAAAGAAACAAGAAGAGGGTGCGTCTTAGGGGTGAGATCAACCCCAACAAGAAGTAAACTGAACTTCAACAAACAGAAAAAAATCACACACAAAAGGCCAGTAAAAAAAAATAAAAGAAACGTGCAAACACCAGTAAACTACCTACTCTCACACAAACAATCCCAAACATTAACTGTAACAAAAAGTAGGAAAAGTCTCTTAATCGGTGGAAGAAGCAAAATATTCCCCCTCTTGATGATCCCGTGATTCCAAGTCCCAACAATTTGTGTTTCTGTGTTTTTTTTTCTAAGTAATTACAGCACTTGTTTCTGATTTTTCTTTCTTTCATCTTCTTGTTCTAGGTTGTTCAACGGCTGTTTGTGTCACATTTTTAGGTACCAACCTATTAGAAAAATCCAATCTTTTTCACTGTATATAATATTTTGCGTGTCAAAATATGTTTCTTCATGAAAAGTTCTTTACTGGGGTGGGCGATTCTGGCAGAAGGGCCATGGTTAAATTTCTCGTATTTGCAGTGGGTATTGTTTTCTTGAATGTCTGAGGGAGCTTCTTCAAATGGATCTTGAATCTGGGTTTTATCAGAATCGTGTAAAGGTACCTTTTTTTTTCTGGGGTTTTATTGAATTTGTTTGAGAGAAAGAGTTTTTTTTTTTTTTTTTTTTTTTTTGAATTTTTTTTGAAATTTTTTTGATTGGATTTTGTATTGGAGCTTTTGCAGAAAGAGTCTTGGCGAACAGTATTGACATTGGCTTATCAGAGCCTGGGTGTTGTATATGGAGATTTAAGTACATCGCCGCTGTATGTGTACAAGAACACTTTTGCAGAGGACATTATACATTCCGAGACAAATGAGGAGATATTTGGAGTTTTGTCCTTTGTATTTTGGACATTAACTTTGGTCCCTCTGTTGAAATATGTGTTTATTGTGCTGAGAGCTGATGATAATGGTGAAGGGGGCACATTTGCACTATATTCACTGTTGTGTAGGCATGCCAAAGTGAATCCATTGCCTAGTTTTCAGTCGGCGGACGAGGATTTGTCGGCATACAAGAAGGATATAACGAGTCCCGAGCCGTCGACTTTCGGAGCAAGGCTCAAGTCCAGTCTCGAAAAATACAGAGTTTTGCAAAGGTTTTTGCTTGTTTTAGCTCTTCTTGGAGCTTGTATGGTCATTGGTGATGGTATCTTGACTCCAGCAATTTCTGGTTTGCCCTTTATATTCACTATGGTCTTGGTCAAAACTTCAATAATTGACGATATGATGGAGTTGTAAGCTAATTTTATGTTTCCTTTTTGGTATTCTTTTAGTTTTCTCGGCTGTTTCTGGTGTTGAGCTTGCCATGGAAAAGGAACATCACAAATGTAAGATTGGGAATTTCATTCTCTTTGATTCTCTGGTAGTTTGTTGTGTGCTTCTACTACCTGTCGGTTATTTTCCTCCGCTGTTTACAACACTGCTAGATTCCTTATATAGATATTCAATCAAAAGCTGGACTTTTATCAGTATACAGATGTTTAATTGGAGATCTTGCAACATATGGTTCACGCTATAAAATGTTATCTGGTAATTTTCCTAAACTACTTCGTGACTCAAATTGACTAAGATTGTTCATTAAAGCCATCTATTGCTAAATAAGTTCTTAATAAGCTGATAGTTTAATAGAGGACCTGATCATTTGCTCAATAAAAAAAAAA